TATGAATAGTACAAAAGTCAAAGTGTTGTAATTATTACGAAACGGAGGGAATATCCGACTATCCGTGCATGATAAAATTTCTAAAAGGAGAGAGACTATGATTGTGATTGTGTAACGAAGTAATAACATTCTACACAAAGAACATAGATGTGAAACTGGCGTGCTTATACCATGTAATCAGGGCTTGTTCTGATTTACTGAATTGAACTGTTCTGTTTAGAGTTGAACTGAATTGAACTGAACTGAACTGAGCTGAAATAAATTGTTTATGAGAGAAGAAAATTAGAAAATGAACTAAATTTAACTGAAATTAAGCTGAATAGAACATGCTCTTAATACACTTGGGCTACATTTTGTTGAATAAGCAAGCTTAAGACCAACCTAGTATTGTAAGTTTTTTATTTTCACAAGAGGAACTCCTAATGCATAGTATTGTAAGTTATTTGAGGGGGCATTACAATTGATAAGTAAATTTATAGCAAAAGTTAATCGACTATTTTGACCACTACAATTAATAAGTGCTTCCTTTTTTTCATAGAAAAAAAGATGCATTAATCATGGAGATTATGTAACATAATCACGAATATTCACAATGTTTAAAGACTGTAAGGAGTAATGTTTCAGGCTTTTTTTTTCTTCTATTCAAGCCGGACATAAGAATTATGGACAAAGCATAATTGACCATAAATATGCCACTATGTACAATGACTAAGGGTCTGTTCTGATTTACTGAAAGCAACTAAACTGAATTGATTGGAACTGAGCTAAACTGATTGGGATTGAACTGAACTGAACTGAACTAATTGGAGCTCAACTGAACGGAACTCAACTGAAATATTTGACTATGGATTAATGATTTTTAACTGTGGATTATTAATGATAAATCCACTAATGATTACGAAAAATAAAATGAATGCACTAAATATTATTTTTGGTTTAAATTTTTTATTATCATATTTATTAATGCCGGTGAAATTATAACCATTTGAACAATGAATATTATTATTGTTGTTGTTGTTATTATTATTATTGTTGTTGTTGTTGTTGTTGTTGAAATATATACTAAAAAGTATGAAATTTGGCTTTAATTATCATTAAACATAAAGATGAACTTAAAAAGATTGGCTCAAAGGCATGCTAAACTAAATTGTCATTTACAATATCATTAGCTAAATCATATAAAACAAATAAGTTAGCAAATAACTGAACTGAACTGATTATTGAAGCTGAATTGAACCGAACTGAAATGAAATTAAGCTGAACAGAACAGACCCTAAGCTACTCTGCTAGTAGTAGTTTTTTTGTAAGGCACTTTGCTAGTGGTAGTTTAATCGATGTGCATGTAAATATGTAATAGTTTGAACTTGGCAATGAATGCAAATTTTACTTGCACTAATTTTCGCACAAATTAAATTATTTACAATATTTCTTAAATACATTAGTTTATGCTTTTCTTCTCTGTCAATTTCTTGTTGCCATTTAAATAGGACACTCTATAAATAAAAAATCTTTCATTTGTTTTAAGATGTAAATACATTCTCAGCACCAAAAATTAATTTAAGGTCCCGTTTGGTTTAATGTAAAACATTTTCGATGGAAAATTAGTTATCATGGAAAACATATTTTCAAGGAAAAACACAAGTGCAAATTAGTTTTCCTTTGTTTGGTTGCATACAAGAAAAGTCCAAGAAAAATAAAAAAAAAAATAAGAGTGGAAATGTAAGGATGAATGAGAGGGAAGTAAAAAAAAGGAGGTAAGGAAGAGAGGAAAATGTGGCTTCCCTTGTTTTGAGAAGGAAAATGTTTTTCATCATTAAGGATGGAATTTTCCACCCTTGGAAAAATTGTTTTCCACCCTTAACAAACCAAACAAAGGAAAATGAGAAAAAAATGGAAAGCTCATTTTCCATGAAAACCTTTTACATCAAACCAAACAGGGCCTAAGTGTTGTATTTCTTTCGTTCATCGTCATCTATTATTTCTCCTCTTCTTCCTCATTGAGTGTATGATTGGTCTAAGCAACATCACTAGAGTTTGTGAGCATACGGAAAACTACGGCCGGTGTGACTAACCTTAGCATCATCACGGAAAGTTTTTGGTGAGCATACATATTATGACATAGATTTACTGCAATAAATCTATATAATTATTTAGAATGCAAAATTATATTTCCGCATTTGATAACATACATAACAATCAAGCATGAAAAAGAAGAATTTTATCTTTAATTACACCAATTAAGCAACAAGATATATGTAAAAGATTCCAATTAAAATAATAAAGAAATTAAAATATTGTTCCCTTTTGCAAATTAATACGTCCGTGTATCTGGTACGAGTGCATTCTAGTTATCATATGAAGGTGAGAACATATCTAAATTTATGCTTGGTGTGAGGTATGACTAGTCTAAGCACCATTAAATTTAATTTTCAATAAATTAAACCCCACTTATATTCCGTATAACATTTTACACCATTCAACTCACATCCTGAAATAAAAGACCTAAAATATGTGTCTCAAATCGATGCACTTAAAAGGGGGATTTTTTTTCCATCATGTATATATATCATCTGTGAGAATTTTGATCACTTTCACCCCTTGATCATCGACCACCCCAAGTCACTACCATCTTCATTCATCACTTGCTATATAAGTACGTACATGTTAAAATGTTGGGTTTTACAACTTTTCACAATGTTGCCCCATAAAAAAATAAAATAAAAAGAGAGAGAGAGACTTAGATCATGGTGCCTGGCCTTATGCACTAGTAACAAATATGGCCCAAAAATTAGAGTCACGTTCTAGTGCCGAAAGGCACGAATGGCTTTAATACTTGCAAATTTTTTATTTTGTAAATACTTGCATACATGCCTATATGGTGACTTGAATGGAAATTGTGTTTTTATAATTTTATTAATATTGTAATTGTCAAAAATGGTGCACTGCTATGCATTAGGATTTAGGATGCATTGTGTTTAACTAATTAACCTAGTTAACTTTAATGCTTAGGCCTTGTTTAGTTTATCTGATTTTTGCTTATCTTATCTAATCTAGTCTGATTAGATCTGATTTGATCTAGTCTAGTTTGATCTGATCTGATCTTATCTTATCTTATTGCCTGACTTGAGTATTTGACCAATCTTTTACCTTAAGTGTACATTGTTAGATTCGTAATAATTTGTATTTTATTACTAATTTTCATAAATTTTTTCATTACAAAATTAAAGATATTTAATGATAAAAAATTACACATAAAACGATGATTTGATCTGAATTTATTTTTTTCGAAATAATTAAAAATAAGGTAAACTAAACAATGCCTTTGTCTTTAGAACTAAGCTTTATTTTTAATTTTTTGAAAGGATTTTAGCTCTAGTTTGTACCATATAGATTTAGATTAGTTTAATTTAATGCATGGCTATACTAATTTAATGATATAAAGAAAGTTATTATATATGTTGCATTGTTATTGGCTCCAATTGAAATTTGTCTATGATGGAGATGATAATTTCTATCTCCACTCACTAAATATATATTTGAACTTATCTAATTATACACAAATCTTAGTTTTTGTTTGCCTTTGAGTTGCTTGATTGTTGATGATATGATCTTCTTCTTCCTCAACTTCAATTTATCTTTGAAAATACTTGTTGTTTAACAGTTTTGCATAAATTAATTACATTATAGAGGCATTCCGCTACTATTGGCACAAAGCAATAGGGTGCGTGCTAACGACTTATACACATGTTTGCATCCATCAGTAATCAATATCACCAATTCGTCGTACCTTCTTATGCAATCTCTTTCTCTTTGTAACACTTTAATTAATTCTCTCCCTCTTAATTCTAATTCTATATATCACTATGTACAAACATGAATTGTGTACAAATGATATAAATGACGATATATATATGAAGAATTTGTTGGTGATAGCTGATCTGGCATTCATGCCACGTCAGCTCAAGTTTGTTATAACAAACTAATTCACATAATTTGGAAGCTTCTAGTTTATTAGCTATTATTATAAATAGGCTTAGCTGCTGTAAGGTATATCATTCACAAAAATATCTTCAATAAAATCTCTCTGCTTAACCTTAGATTGTTCTTCATTTTTCTCTCAAAGTTTTTCCAGATTTTGTTTTCTTTGCTCAAAAATTTGTCATGGTATCAAAGCAGGATCTTTGATCTTGGCTCGTTTTCTCTGATTCTTCCACATTTCTTCCTGATTTCTTTTTTCTGCTTCTGAAAACACTTGTTTAATTTCTGGATTTCTTGATTGATTTCTGGATTTTTCGTTCGATTGTTGTGCGATTTTTGACGATCGATTGCTCTGATTCTCTTGATCTCTGTTTCAGTTTCTTGACTGAAAATTCTTGTGGTTTTCAATTGATTTTGATCTGATCTATCACTTGTTACTGTTCGATTGATTAATGTTCTAGCTGGTTATTGCGTATTATTTTTGACCTAGTTTCTTTGGAGGTTCGACAATGGTGGCTGGAAATTCTGATCCTCAGAGGCACTACTACAAAAAACGTGTTTTTTGGATGCTTTTTAAGCCTTTTTTCGACGCTAAAAAGCGTCGAAAAATTATTTCTCGACGCTGATAAAAAGCGTCGAAAATACGTGAGTCGAAAATTTGCAGAGACACAAAAAAGCGTCGAGATTTTTGTGTCCTAACTAATATACGAAGCGTCGAAAATTACGTATTTCGCGCATTATCCCAAATGTGTGTAGTTTCTTAGCGACGCTTTTTGTGCCTAGAATCATTAAATTGGCGACGCTTTATTTTGTTCAGATTTTCATACATCTGATTTTAATATTTTGAAGATGCTTTTTTCTATCTATATTTTCTTTGTTGGAGATGCTTTTTCTAGTCCAAATTCTTATTTCAGACGTAATATTATTATTATTATTATTATAAGTATACTAGTAATCTAGTATTACCAATAAAATAGAGAAAGCAAAATTATGGCAGTCTTTTTTTTTATTATTATTGCATATATAAATATATTATAGTATATGTACAATTAAATTATCTCATAGTAATGAGAAATACAACCGCTATATTTCAAAGTTACACTTTATTCGTGACTAGTTGTAGTGGAACAAATATGCTCATTTCTTTACAAAAAAATTGCAACCTATCTCTAATTTAGCTGCTCCTTAATGTGCTTGCAAAAGGGCGTAAAACAAAGTGTCGACCAATAATTCATTGTTAGCCTTGAATTCATCGCAAACCCTCTGATGTTTCTGAATCCTAAAGCAAGAACTAGTTGTTTTAGTTTATCTTGGGGAGACAGACAACAACAACATCGTGGATTAATAACATCACTGATATTGTGGTCAACAACCATGTGGTCAGCATCCTACAGCAACAACAACAATATATATACAACTTATTGTTCTAATTTTGATGATATTGATGTTTATAAGAAACAAGGGATGGTGAGAAATATTGATGGAAAAAATCTAGTTGAACAATGGAGATGCATTACCATGACAATATATGGGATATTCCATTCAGATAGATATCCACATAATTCATTCATATTTCTCTCTGATCTAGCTTAAGCTATGTCATAAAATCATTAGTATACAAAAAGTAACTTCAAAATATAAAATACAAGGGAAAAAACAGCTAGAGAGACAAAATGCATAATATTAATTATTACAACACAATATTACTACAAATTATAAGCAAAATATCTCAGTTCAAGTAAACTTAGATGAATAACATCAAGGCTAAGGACAAAACTTAAAAATGGTTTAATGAATTCACTATTATAATGCCTGTAAAGAGGAAGCCTCCATCAATTCACCAGCTGCACATTAATAAAAAAAAAAATTTAAACTAAAGGTCTAACCAGCAGATTACAAGTTACCTTATCGGGAAGGACCGAAGGATTCACCTTTTAAAGCACTAGGCAAATAGCTATGCTATGTTGGAAATCCACCTTGAACTGAAGAAGCATCAAAAAGTGATGATGTTAGGAACATTATGTCGGTTTTGAGTTATTTTGGAACACTCAGGGTACTAATAAAAAAAGAACATTTTAAAATATCATCATCCAAGACAATTAAAGTGACATAGTATTCATTAAAATAACTCAAAACTAAACTAGAGTAAGCTGAAAGTAGAAAATTTTAGCACCATAATGAAATGTTAAAACAGGACTAAGACACTAATGCTTCAAAATCAAAACGTTACCTACCGAAGAACTTAAATATCTCTAGATGTGACGACAGTAGTATGGCTCTGGTGTTCATCTGGTTCACAATCTGCAAGAAACTCATCAAGTCAGCGTCATTGATAGTAGATTATGCAGAAGCATATAGAGCAGTTTGGAGAAATCAAAATCACAATGCATGAAAACTGCAATGAATTGAACAAAGTGCAAAGAATAAATTTCTTTTTAATGGAGTGAGGGAAGCTAGGGGAATAAGTGATGGAAGTTTGCAGCTTTACACCTGAAACTTCAGTTAGGCTAGACACTCATATCCGAGTCTTAGCAACATAAGTATAATGCTTATTTTAGAAAATGGACAAAATAACCCCCATTTTACACCAAATTAAATACGCATCATATAAATTGTAGTCACCTCTCATTGCATTCTACATATAATGTAACATGGAAACACAAGTCACGGTGGCAACCACATACAATGCAAACAAGGGTAAGATCAGCTCCATTTTTATCACTCGGCAATAACTTTCTGCATCCATTTACTGCATACTCTTTAGCGTTAGAAACAAGTTATGTTTTGACAGTCCATATCAATCAAACACCAAACTAGAAAGGCATAATCAGTTGAGTTGCTGACTAACAACATCAACATCATTTGTGTATTATCTTATCTTCCAACCAAAGGGCAAAAACTCAACGAAAGCAGTTTGACACTAGTAGAAAAAAAGCATTAGGCACCGGTTCAAACCCGGCCTAAGGCACCGGTTTGAACCGGTGCCAATTTGGGGGGTGCCAAAAACCCAATTTTTAGCACCGGTTCAAAACCGGTGCCATAGAGTCAAATAGGCACCGGTTAACCGGTGCCATAACTTCTGTTTTTTTTTTTTGGGGAACTAAAGTCAATTGGCACCGGTTCAATTCATGTATTTTTTTTAATTTTTTTTTTAGTTTGCTTTATCCACATACACACATAATATTTTATCCACTTAAATGAAATGAATATTGATCAAAATTGATCATTAAATAAGAAATATAATCAGAAACATATAACAAGCTTGAATAATACGAAATATATTGATGATTAAATTGTTATTTTACAATACAAAAAAATAAAATAAATTACAACATCAAAATCCAGAAAAAAAAATTATAACATTTTAGAAAAAAAAAATTACACATCAAAGACTAAAAAAACTACAACATTGAAATCAAAATTCCAAAAGCAACACCTTGATTCTTCACCTGCATCAATTAAAACACCGACATTAATAAACTCACTGTAAACTAAAATTACGAAAATTAAGATTCAAACCCAGAAAAAAAATTGAAATTCAAACCCAGAAAAAAATTAAGATTCAAACCTAGAAAAAAAATTAAGATTCAAACCCAGAAAAAAAAATTGAAATCGCAAAAAAATTAAATCGAAAAAAAATTAAATCAAAAAATGCCCAGAAATAATAAAACCCAGAAATGGAAATAAATTGAAATCGAAAAAACCCAGATAAAAAATAAAAATTAAAAAACCTAGAAATCGAAAAACAAAAAAACAAAATCGAAAACAAAATATATTAAAATCGAATAAACAAAAACAAAAATCGAAAAAAATTCAAAATCAAACATAAGAATTTTTTTTTACAGAAATCGAAAAACAAAACATATTAAAATCGAATAAACAAAAATCGAAAAAAAACTCAAAATTGAAAACGGAAAAAATAACCCAGAAATCGAAAAACAAAAAATTAAAATCGAAAAAAAAATGTATTACAATCAAAATCGAAAACAAAATGTATTAAAATCAAAATCGAAAAAAATAAATCAAAATCAAACCGGTTCGTGGTGTTGCATGTGCTCGTGGTGGTCTCCGTGGTGGTGTTCGTGGTGGTCTTCGTGGTGGGCTTGAAGGAGAAGGAAAAGGAGACGTGGTAGCGAAAGGGAAGGAGGAGGAGATGAGAAAGGGAAGGAGGAGATGAGAAAATCTGGTGAATGATGAGCGAAAGAGGAGGAGATGAGTGGTGAATGATGAGCGAAAGAGGAGGAGAAGAGGAGAGAGAAAGAGAAGGAGAGAAGAGGATGGAGAAGCGGCTTGAGTGTAGGGTTTGGGGGGGGGGGGGTTTATATATGGGAGTTTTTTTTTTTAATTATAATAATGTTGAACCGGTTTTTTTTATTAACTGAGGAGCGGTTCAATTGGCACCGGTTCAAACCGGTGCCCTTTTAGTTTTTGGCACCGGTTCAGGCCAAACCGGTGCCTTTTCTCTTCTTCTAAAATCCCGCCCATTTCTGGACCGGTTTTGGGCACCGGTTTAGCCTGAACCGGTGCCATATTGGGGGTGCCTAATGCTTTTTTTCTACTAGTGTGAGTGTTTGACAAATTGGCATAACAGAACTGGAAAAATGCTTTCTGGTGCTTTGTGCCTAAACCATTAAACTTATTGTTTGACCTTATATTGCTTCATGGACTAATTAAGTACTTTCTAAATTTTGAATATTCCAACAAATCCTCCAACTAAAGGATTTTAAAAATCGAGATTTAAATCCTAGAAAGATAATACGGTGTACAGGATTTTTACAAATCCCATCTTTTCTGGACACCTGATCGTAGAGGGTAATTCCTAATTGTAAGATAAAGTAATTGGCTAACTCAATACCTTAGATATTGTAGATCCGCTTTACCCTAATCCTTAAACAAATGATTTTATGTAAAAACTGATATACCTCCTATGGTAGAGTTGAGGAATTACAAACAAATACCTTAGATATTGTAGATCCGCTTTACCCTAATCCTTAATTAATATACCTCCTATGGTAGAGTTGAGGAATTTTTGCAAAAATCAAAAATCGATCCTCACATCATTATACAATTAGTTAAATCAGATCCAGGAACTCATAAATCATCAAATTGAATTACAAATTACAAACAAAAAAACCGCAACAATTATAAAGCACAAACATGGAAGAACAACAAATCAAATCAGATCAAAAAACCAGGAAAGAAAATTGAAATCAAAGAATATCGAAGAAAACGTACCCGTTCACCAACGAAAGCACAGGCGATGATGAAGGTGACATAGATGGAGTCGAACAAAAACCAGCGAAATTGGAGTTTTTGGGAAATGGAATGTGAAAAGGAGAAATTTGTTTCAGTGGATGAAAATATTGAATAGAATATCAAGAAATTCAATGCTATTTCACAACAATCAAATATAACAAATTAAATCAGAACGATATTTTAGCACAAAATCCTGGAAAGTGACGAGGAGAAGAATGAAATTAGCTTAAACTGAAGAAATTAACAAGGAGAGGAAGGAAATTATATCATGGCTTCCACTTAATCCGCAGCGATTTGATCAACAGATGAACTGAGATCGTATAAAAATGAAGGAAAAAAAACAATTAGGGTTAATTTGTGTTGAAGTGCCGAGATCTGAGAGAGAGAGAGAGAGAGTGTTATGCATGTGGGACTATGGTATACTCGTGGATATAAGGCGGTTTCTAATACTTGTGTCATGTGCAAACCATACGAAGTTATCGACGCTTTTTAACGCCAAGAAATTGATTCGACACATAAAAGCGTCGAAAAAAGCGGAAATTTATTTTTCCGCTGGCACCCCATACACAGTGTCGAACCAATAGCGTCCAAAAAGCAAGGGATTTGTAGTAGTGAGGAATTCTGGAATTTTTCCTAATCAGGATCCTTCGAGTGCTTATTACATTCATCCATCTGATGCTAACACAGCTCAACTCGTTTCGTTCAAGTTCAATGGTGTTGGTTATACTAGCTGGAAACGATCAATGATGTTGACTCTCTCAGCGAAGAATAAAATCGGATTTGTGAATGGAAGCATTCCAATACCTGCTGTTGGCACTGTTGAGTATCATGCCTAGGGAAGGTGCAATGATCTAGTATGTGCCTTGCTTATGTTTAATTTGGATGAGATGATAGCTAAATCTGTCATGTTTTTGAGAACTGCTTCTGAAATTTGGAGTGATTTAGAAGAGAGGTTTGGTTATGCTTCTATGGCACAAGTATATTCTCTTGAACAACAGTTAATTGATATGAATCAAGGAGATAAATCTGTGACTGAATTTTTCACTGAGATTAAGACAGTTTGGGATGCCATTGAGGAAGCTCATCCACTTCCATACTGTACTTGTAATAACTGCACTTGTAATTTGACAAAGAAAATATATCAGAGGCAGCAAGAGAAAATGGTTTTGCAATTTATGATGAAGTTAAATGATCAGTATGCAACTATTCGAGGAAACTTACTGATGATGCAGACTTTGCCTAAGGTTACTGAGGCTTTTAGGTTGTTTGCTCAGGAGGAGAGGCACAAGGAGTTGTCTAATATCGCTAATCATTCTGATTCATTAGCTTTAGCTTCTAATAAGTTTGGTAGCAATTTTCAGAAGTTTGGTAGTAATTTTCAGAATCAAAACAGCCCGCCTAGGTCTGATTCATACAAAGTTCCTAGTTCTTTTTCAAGTTATTCTGGTGCAGGATATAAAAGGCCATCTAAGGGAGGAGCAAATTATTTTTGTACTCACTGTCAGATACCTAGTCATAGTGTTGACAGGTGCTTTAAGCTACATGGTTTTTCTCCTGGTTTTAAAGGCTTCAAAGACAATAAGATTGCTACTATGTCTTTTGGAGAAGGTTCTTCAACAAATAATCATGCTGAGTCGATTCCTGCTGGTGGTTCTGTTCAGGCTTCTCAGTATCAGCAGTTTATGTTTATTTTGTCGAAACAGCATGAAGATACTTAGTGTGCAGAAACAAGTTCAGCACAGCAGGGAAACCTAGCCATGATGGCAGGTAATCTTTGTTTACTTTCTCAGACCAATCTAAAATGGTTGTTAGATAGTGATGCTTCTGATCACTTTTGCTATGTTTTGAATCAATTTTCTACATATAAACCAGTAGAAAATGTTAATAGTTTCATCACAATTCCTGATGGTAGTAAAATTGCCATAAAAAAATGTTGGTTCTGTAGTGTTGAATGACTCTATTACACTGCAGAATGTGTTACATGTTCCTGCATGATTTCAAGTATAACTTGATATCAGTTCATAAACTCTGTAGAGACATGAATTGTGAGTTACATTTCACTTCTGATGAGTGTTTTCTTTCATGTCAGAAAGGGAATTTGATTCCTCTTGGTAGTGGGAGATCTGGTTTGTACAATGTGGGTGATAAGAAGGTGATAGAGTCAAGTTTATCTCAGAATGTCAGCTCAGGATCTGCTTGTTTGTCAGCTGTTGAGGATGCAAAGCTTTGGCACCTTAGGTTAGGGCATCTGCCCTTTAGTCAAATAAAACTGATTAGACCTGAATGTGATGTTACTGCTTGTATGCAGAACACTTTTTGCCAAGTCTGTCCTGTTGCAAAACAGACTAGGTCTAGTTTTCCCATAAGTTCAATAAAAACTTCTGCAGTATTTGAGTTGATCCATATTGATGTATGGGGCCCTCATGCTGTAAAAACACCATCTGGTAGTAATTAATTTTTGACTATTGTGGATGATTATTCAAGATTTACTTGGATTCATTTGTTGAGAAATAAGAATGATTCTATTCAGATTATGAAAGATTTTCAAAAAATGGTTTTGACACAATTTGGAGTTATGGTTAAATGTGTCAGGTCAGATAATGCCAGGTAGTTGTGTGAGGGTGAAATGAAAAAGTTGTATACAAGTCTTGGGGTCTTGATTCAGACTAGTTGTAGTGATACACCTTAGCAAAATGGGGTTGTTGAGAGGAAACATAAACACCTCTCGGAGACTGCAAGGGCATTGTATATACAAAAAAAAAATACCAGAGAGATTTTGGGGTGATTGTGTGTTGAGTGCAGCTTATTTGATCAATAGAATGCCTCTTAAAGCAATAAATTCTGATACACCCTATTTCAGATTACATCTTAAGGTTCCTAATGTTTCTCATTTAAGGACCTTTGGTTGTCTTTGCCATGTGTCAACTAGTAAAGTTGGGAGACATAAGTTGGATAATAGAGCTAAACCATGTGTTTTCATTGGGTATTCTAGTTCTCAAAAGGGATACAAAGTCATGGATTTAGACACTTATAAGGTTCAAGTTTCTAGGGATGTTTCTTTTCATGAGAAGCATTTTCCTTTTCATATTTACAGAAAACATACTTTGCCTACTTCTAACTATTCTGATGCAATTTATTTACCTGCTATCACCTCTTCTCAATTACAACAGTTTGATGGTTTTGATTTTTCTTCTCCAGCTTCTGTCTTCCCTCCTCATACTCCTATTTCTTCTTCTCATTCTTCTTCTGCTACTTCTTCTTCCTCTCAGTCTTCTTCTCCACCTAACTCTTATATTTCTTCTCCTAATTCCCAGTTTGTTCCTGAAATTTTGGAGAGTTCTATTGTTCCTGTCCCTGACAATGTCAAGACATCTTCTAGACCTCATAAAACACCTTCATATTTAGATGCTTATGAGTGTTACAATGCTGCAAATGAACCAGAACACCCTTGCACTACTCATTGGTGTGGTTTGGTTTCTTATGATTCATTTCCTTCTCTTTATAAGGCTTTTCTGTCACAAACTTGTGACATCAAAGAGCCACTCAATTTTGCAGAAGCTTCTCTCAGTCCTCAATGGGTTGAAGCTATGCAAAAAGAGATAAAAGCATTGGAACAGAACAATACTTGGATTTTGGTTGATTTACCAAAAGGAAAAAAGGCAATTGGGTGTAAATGGGTGTTCAAGGTTAAGTTGAAAGCTGATGGTACCTTAGAGAGGTGCAAGGCAAGGTTGGTTGCAAAAGGTTTCAACCAGAAATATGGGATTGATTATGAAGAAACTTTCAGCCCAGTTGTGAAGATGAGCACAGTCAGATGTTTGATTGCTTTAGCTGCTAGTAATAATTAGTCTTTGTTCCAATTGGATGTAAATAATGCATTCTTGCATAGAGATTTGAAGAAGGAAGTTTATATGAGAATTCCTGAAGGTGTGGAGAATCCAGGGAACAAAGTATGCAGGCTTATCAAGTCTATTTATGGCCTAAACACAGGCATCTAGACAATGGCATGAGAAATTGGTTTCTGCTCTGGGAAATCAAGGCTTTATCAAGTGTCAACATGACTACAACTTGTTTATATGCAAGGAAAATGGTTTGATGTGTGTTGCAGCTGTGTATGTAGATGATGTTATACTTACATGCAATAACACCCAGAAAATGGAAGATTTGAAAGCTTTTGCATCATGAATCCAGCATCAAGAATTTGGGGAGATTGAGTTATTTCTTAGGTATTGAAGTGGGGTATACCTCTGAAGGAATAATTCTCAGACAAAATAAGTTTACATGGGAATTATTACAAGATTGGGGGTTTTTATCTTAGCAAGAAAGCTGTGACTCCTCTGCCCCAAAACATTAAGCTCCCAGCAGATGAAGGTAATATATATAAGAATGCTGAATACTACAGGTCATTGGTTGGGAAGTTGAACTTCCTCACACATACCAGACCAGACTTGTCCTATTTTGTTCAAACCCTTAGTCAATTTTTGCAGACTCCAAGATTGCCTCACTTGCAAGCTTTGCATCATACACTGAGATATCTTGCATACACAGCTGGGCAAGGCATCATGCTTAGAGCTTCAGACTCTCTGACATTACAAGATTTCTCTGATTCAGATTGGGCTTCATGTCTAGATTCCTGGAGATCTATCACAGGATATATAATGTTGCTGGGTGGTTCTCCTATCTCATGGAAATCTAAGAAACAAGGCACAACATCAAAGTCTTCATCTGAATCAGAATATAGGGCTATGACTTCAGTATATTAATCAGAACATGGTTGGTGAATTTGCTGGAAGACTTGGGAGTTAAAAATTTGAAGCATGTCACTCTTCATTGTGACAATCAATCTACTCTACATATTGCAAGGAATCCTGTGTTCCACGAGAGGACCAAGCATATAGAGATAGATTGCCATTTCACTAGAGATAAGGTTATGGAAGGGCTCATACAACTAGCTTATCTTCCCACACAGCATCAGCTTGCAGATGTATTTACTAAGCCTATTTCTTCAGCTCAGTTTCAGCTTTTGTTATCCAAGATGGGACTGTATCCAGATCCCACCTTGAGGGGGGCTGTTGGTGATAGCTGATATGGCATTCATGCCACGTCAGCTCAAGTTTGTTATAACAAACTAATTTTGTTGTAACAGAATTTGGAAGCTTTTAGTTTATTAGCTATTATTATAAATAGGCTTAGCTGCTGCAAGATATTCATTCACAAAAATATCTTCAATAAAATCTCTCTGCTTAACCTTAGATTGTTCTTCATTTTTCTCTCAAAGTTTTTCCAGATTTTGTTTTCTTTGCTCAGAAATTTGTCAGAATCAATTAAAGATAAAGTCTTACAAGATGATACAAGGTTTAATAACTTAACTTGACACTTGATCTTTAATTCATATTGCTACTCCTTTTAACAACCCATATTAAATATAATACGAAATACAGAGTATATTTTTATAAAATATACGTAGTATACATTGTTGAAATATATATTTTTTTAAAGAATTTTTGCATCCTTACCTTGATGAACTTGGTAAAGCTACGTCGTACTATTATTTCTTACATAACATTAAGTAACAAGCATCATCATTCATCAATGAGGAGTGAAATTAGAGGACTTGACCATGATCATGACTCTCTACAAACTAACCAGAAACATTCAAAATACTACGTATATAACATCCTAAATTCTAGAATAAAAAAAAAGGAAATACAAGTAAGAAGTATCAAGAAACAACCAGTTAGTTTCTTAATATTTGGTCAACTATACCAACAAAATTCAACTCCTATTAAAAAATAAAAATTAAGATTAATTGAAAAATTCATGGTATCAAGAGACTATTTATACCCTATAAATTATTCAATTATTTGACACCTTCATTCATTCATTCATTTATTTTTCTCTCTCCTCATCCCAACTAAAAACACCCATATTCATAAATATTAAGTTAAATTTATTTCAAAATGATAGAAAATAATAATAATAATAATAATAATAATAATAATAATAATAATAATAGCTCAAATATAGAGAGTTTAAGGATGCATATAATGACTAATGGGGGTATTATAGACAAATCAATAGCTAGTCTTGGAAAAGGCTTTGATTTAACATCAGATTTTCGTCTCAAATATTGCAAAGGAAATCAAAGGATTGTTTTACTCAATGAAGATCAAAAGAAGCAGCTTTTTGTCCCTGGTTTTGGTACTTTAAAACAACCCGTTTCCATTGATATCAAATGTGATAAGGGTGATCATACTCGCCATCAATCCGATATCCTTGACTTCAATCAGGTATAGATTGTCTCTGTTTCATATCTCTAGTTGAAGATGTTTGTAGAGCATACTAGTTGAGTTCAAGTCGATTATATCTATAATATCTTTGTTTTTTTTTAAATAGATGCATTACTTTGACTTTTTACACTATTTATAATCGAAAATGGGGTAAGATCATGTAAAACATGACTTGGTTACTAAGTCAAATTTCATGCTCGAGAATAGAGATTATTGTTAGTTTTTTATTATTTTTTTTTTATTTTTTTTTTATTTTTTTTTACCTATTATAAAAAGTATTTGATTGTCATTGAGGGTTACACACTTTTACTTACCGTCTAAGGTAAGTAACATTTTAATAGTGTCAATGTATCATTGTCCGATAAATAGCTAATTTAGTTCATTGTGTTGAATGTAATTGTAGATGTCGGAGTTCTTCAATAGGATATCGGCGATTTCTGGGAAGATCCCATCGGGTTTGTTCAATTCAATGTTCAAGTTCGAAAGTAGTTCATGGGCTAAAAATGCAGCAAATGTAAAGTTTTTGGGGCTTGATGGTTACTCTATAGTTTTGTTTGAAATGCATATCGATCGTTATCCTTTGCAACTCTCTGATGAAGTCCTCAATGATGTCCCTTCTACTTGGGATCCTCCTGCCATTGCAAGGTTTGAGTTTTTTGTATATACTCTCTCTGTTTTCCTAAGTTCTACTCACTTTCTGCTCTAGTGGAGCAAGTTTTGGTTAAATTACTTATGTTCGTCATTTGAATATCCGTACACAAGTTTAATTATCATGTTAGTAGATCAACTCAACTAATAGGTTAAAAGGTTAAGCTAATGGTTGAGACCTAGGAATATCAGTTAATCATCATATTGATGTAGATAAAACAATGAAATACGCACTTCCAATTTGAAATTGATATAATTAGTGATGGATTATGATAAAAAGTTTTCAATATACTCTGTAATATATTACGATTACATAAAATAAGTTATGAATGACGATGAAATAATTAGTTGCTCAACTATAATTGAGTGTTTTTTTTATAATTATTATAATGGGTTGGAATAATGAGAGTTATGACATTAATTTTGAACTAAAACAACATTTATACTATAGCGTAATGATGATATTAGCTATTTATATTGCGGATGCAAACTGTCACCATAATAATTAAAGTACAAC